ATAAAAACAAAACAACTGATAACAGAAAACTCAGAGTAACAACAAATAGGAACAATCTTAGGTGAAAGATAAACCGTTATATTAGTATAAAGCTTCTTCTTCTCCTTTTTATGTTTCCAGGGTCTGGTTGGTGATCGGGGCCCAGAGGGGGAAATTGGTGAACCTGGTGAGAAGGTATTTATTAATGATTTAATATTTCCTCAATGTTGAAAGTAGCAGGTAGATTTTCTGTTTATGGTATATCAGACAGGCATTTAAGTCAATGTAAAGGGCCCTTCCATAAATACCTGACACACTAAGTACTTACATACATTTTAAGATTTTAGACAGTAAGGACATTTTTGCCACATTTATGTGTAGAGTTGAGTAGGAGATGGCAGCTCTTTCTTTTACAGAGTTAAACTTGTTGTCAAGTCCTATGCTATTTTTTTTTCAGGTAATATTTTTTCATTGTGTTCTCTTCTTGTTTTCTTACAGGGTGCAGTTGGTTTGCCAGGTCCACCGGGTCCCATTGGACCACCAGTAAGTGTCTTCTATTGTAATATAAAGATCAATCTTTAAATTTAATCACAGCAGACAAGAAACACATTCTTTTATGAAGGACAAAAGATTAAAACCAGCTCTATATTCTAAGTTTCCTTCCAATGAGCAAAACTGTAAAGTTGATTGATGCTTTCCACCCTCTTTTCAAAGATTTGAGGGTGGCCGTTGGTGCCTTTCATGACAGATCACTGAACATGACATTGACTAAACAATTTGCATAAGGGAACGGTATTAAATGTAGGACAGAATAAAGAGAATGAGGTTTTAAAAAATGCATATTATCTAACAGTTTAACAGCTTCAGAAATCCAGCAAAGACATTAAATATGTTCATAAACATGCAGTATCTGATGGCAGAGCACTTAATAAATGATACATTACCAGGCAATAACTCTGGTGCATTCACACCTTACTTTCAGCTGCCCCCATCTCATCACTGAATCTACCGCTTGCTGGTTCCAATATAACATGGTGGAACTGGATTTACGGAGCTACTTGCTGTGCACTGTAAAAATGATCTAGAAATAAGTAAAAAAATACTTAAATCAAGTGTATTTACCCTTAATTTGAGTAGGTAAATACAATGATTTGCCAATGAAATTTGTATCTCTACACCTAAAATAAGATAATTAGATAATATGAACTCGAAATAAGACAATTTTAAATGTAAATTGTCTTGTTCCATTGGCAAAGTGTCTCGTCCTCAATTGGAGAAAAAATGCACTTATTTTAAGAAAAAAATACTTGCTTAGATTTCCATTTTTTGCAGTGTGCTTTATTTACTTTGTAAAGCCAAATGAAGCCTCAGGTAAAACTTCCCTGGGTTCATCATATTTAGAGACGATGAAGACAGACAGAGAGCATCAGAGCGGGGGGCCAGGGTTTGAACTGGAGCTAAAGGAGGATAACAAATGATGAACAATTTAACAGTTCTTTTAGGGGCTAAATTAAAAACAGTTTCTTAAATAAAATAAAAACACATACTAACCCCTAAGAGTATTATCTATTTCATCTTTTGTCAACATTGTATTTTCAATCTAGCGCCTTCATCACAGCCACATTTAGTGCCTGACTGGTTGTTGAGAAGCCAATTATCATGTGTGTATTTTTTACACATTTCCTGTTTAGCCAATATAGCTCTGGGACATAAATTCCCAGAGCTAACTGATATCCCAACAGCTTGATTTTCACAATTAGACCAGTATGACTGTTGCCATAAGGTTCTTCTTGTCATTTGTATAATAAACTATATTGAACATTATTTGGGTAGTAAAATCGTATACAAGGACACAGAAAGGAAGGTAAGAAAAACTCAGGGGAGAGAGGAACGGAGATAGAAACAGGAAAGAGTGCATGAAAAGATAGAAAATAAATCAAAACAGCAAAAACACAGAAGATATACAGTAACTCCCAGAAGTCTGCTTCCATACCTGTATGAGACGAGAGGAACAGAAAACAGAGAACATTGCAGCAAAAAGAAGACAACAGAAAACCAATGTAAATTTAAAAAGAAAACATTTCAAGAGTAGCGTGTATCCTTTCCACGTGGCTCACAGTCAGAACCTATAGTGATTACACAATATTAATCAGAGTGGTATTCACAAAACTTCTTCTTAAGGAAAGTATGCTTAATAGCAGGTGTGGGCGTCCCCAGACTAGCCCAAGGAGCGCAGGATAGAAAAAGAGGCAACCCGTGCCCCATTATCCAGAGGCACCCCAGATCACTGAGACCTAAGGGGGCAGACATAGGGAGACCCACACCCAGACGAGCAACTCCAGCAACTTTGCATCCATCACAGGTGTCGCTCCTGTGTCACTAGAATCATCAAATCCCTGCCTGTGACATACAGTAGCTAGAAAAATGTCTGTCACATCACTTTGTGTCACTATTGTGCGCCTGTACATAGAGATAACAGGTCAATCTGTTACTCTGGTTGCACAAAATGGGTAAGGTGTGAACACTACTGTTTTTGTCACTTAAGCACTTTTATTTTTTGGATATTATGTAGATTCATGTGAAGAAAAAGAGCCTTAAAAGCCCAATTATTATTTTTTTTTTTTACATAACAGTTTGTCCTTTATGTTTGGCATCCTTTTTTAAATACATGGATATTTGGAGTCAAATTGTGATGGATGGATGCACTGGAAAAACGATCTAGAAATAAGTAAAAATTTCCTAAATTAAGTGTATTTATCCTTAATTTGAGTAGGTT